CTCAATCATCCCGTCCGATCTAAAAATAATTAATGGTATTATTATGCCTCGTAAAACGCGTACACGTAATTTATTTACTCATACGTGAGATATTCAGTAAAGCATATTTCTGTTTCGCAATAACGCGAACGCCAACTTCGTTTCGTTATAAGCGATTACGATTTCATTCCCATCCCATCGATCGTCCAGACAACCCCCCTCCCCTTTCCTCTTTATTTATATTTATATATTATAACTTCGTCATTCTTTTATTTTTATTACATTTATTATTTTTATTCTAATTAATCGAGATTATCGATTAACTTATTCAATATACATACGAAACCCCGAGATGTTTTCACTTTTATTTTCAATTTATTATTCGCGATCTTAATTGATACATCGATCGAAATCGTATCGATCCTCGGTGGAAAGAGAAAGAAAATCGGATGAAAGGAGTTTTCGATCCCTCTCCTTCCGTACGTGATTTCTGAATCGAAATTAATGGAGTTAATTGGGGAGGGGAGGGGTCGAAACCGGTGTACGGAATTAATAATAATCGGGCGACACAATAAAGCGTGATAATCGCGATTCCTCGAGTTCCGAATCTGAATTACATTCCGTGGTCTGTCTGTTGGAGGTTAATTCGATGTAAATGTATGTGAGTCGTATGTAAGCGGTACACGGGCGGTGTATCGCCGGGCAAAGGAGGGAGGGAGGGAGGGAGGGAGAGGAGAGGCGGAGAATTATTGTGATACTTGGACGAAAAGGAACGGGGAACGTGACGGTGGAATGGTAATCGGAATTCGAACTTGGAACGAGCGTACGAGCGCTCCTCATGCGCAACTGTGTGTACGGTGTTGTATCTCTTATCGATTTCCAATTTAAAGATTGAAATCTTCGTGAATGTGAGCTTTGTAATTGGATACAGAATTGGTTACCAGAGAAATGAAAATTTTTTAGCGATTCGCGCGGAACAAGTGGCTGTTGATATATGTATATATATGTATGTATGGTGTATCGATTTTCAATTTAGATCCCTCAAATGAGTATTGGAAGATTTATTATTTAGATAGAATGAACATTTTTTAACAATTCACGTGAAACAGCTCTTGATGTATTTTATCGATTTCTACGTATTTAAAGATTCTGAAATGGATTTTGAAGGATTTATTATTTAGGAAAATGAAAATTTTCGATACAAGAATTGCCTCGAAGTATTCGAAATAATTTTTGAAAAATTTATTATTTTGGAAAATGAAAATTTTCGATGCAAGGATTGCCTCGAAATATTCGAAATAATTTTTAAGAGATTTATTATCCAGGAAAATGAAAATTTTCGATGCAAGAATTATCTCGAAATAATTAGAAATAATTTTTGAAAGATTTATTATTTTAAAAAAATAAAGATTTTCGATGCAAGGATTGCCTCGAAATACTCGAAATAATTTTTAAAAGATTTATTATCCAGGAAAATGAAAATTTTCGATACAAGAATTATCTCGAAGTATTCGAAATAATTTCTGAAAGATTTATTATTCAGGAAAATGAAAATTTTCGATGCAAGAATTATCTCGAAATAATTCGAAATAATTTTTGAAAGATTTATTATTTTAAAAAAAATGAAGATTTTCGATGCAAGGATTGTCTCGAAGTACTCGAAATAATTTTTGAAAGATTTATTTTTTAGGAAAATGAATATTTTTAATGCCTCGAAGTACTCGAAATAATTTTTGAAAGATTTATTATTTAAAAAAAATTTTCAAAGTAATTTTTGAAAGATTTATTATTTAGAAAAATGAAAATTTTTAATTTTCAACTCACGTGGAACACAAGTATCTCTCGATATGTATGATATATTTTAAGGATTGTAATTCTCAAACGAGTTTCGAAAGATTATTCGGAAAAAAATGAAAATTTTTGATAATTCGTGTGTCCTCGAGTACGTATATACTTCATTTCGAATATTTAAAAATAACAACACTGGAAATATTCGCAAATGAATTTATTATCCAGAGAGAAATGAAAAATTTATTTGTCATATCTTGATATAAATACGTATCGATTCCACGAGGAAGTCGATCGTACGTGTATAAAAGGATAAAAATGTTTAATCAAAGCGCGATTATCATTGATAAAATAAATCAGAGTTGAGCGGGATTCTTGGGTTAATTTATTCCCAGACTTCCGCCTCCGCCGTGGAGAGCACTAGCGCGTCGCGGTCACGTGTCGCATTAATAATTCATTTCCGCATATCGTGCGTATTTCACGTGTTACGCGAGTAATCGATTAACCTCCTAGCAAACAAATTTCACCGTGTCCCTTATAGTAATAAAACTCAAACAGAACGCACGTGCGCCCATTTAAACTCTCTTCAACCGTCTTAAATTTCACTTTTTTTTCCGCATCCTCTACACACTCCTATCCTCTTCACTCAACATGTAAGAATTATACGCCTATAATATAATTTTTCCTTTCTTTTTCTTTTTCTTTCTTTTTTTTTTTCCTTATTTTTTTCTCTTTCTCGAATGGAAGCTTGCTCTCGATAGGAAATATATAAATATATATGTAATTGTAAAAGAGACGAAGCAGAAGGAAGTCGGCGTTGTCGTTGTCGCGGCCGAGTAAATTCATTGCGGACACACCCTGTATATACAGGTGGTTGCAACTACGAGGCAACTACGACAGGAAGTCGTTACTGGATACCGGTAACCGTGAGGCTAAGTCAAATCGATGCACGCGAGGCGCTTTCGAAACTCGCTCGCTCCTCCCACCGTGGAAAATAAATAATAATAAGTAGCCGACAGTTATTCGTGGGACGACGCTGCACGCTGTTCCACGCTGTTTTATCTATAGCCGTTTTATACTCGTGAGTACCAACGAGTAATCCCCTTTTCTTTAAGAAAAGAAAATTAGTGTTTTTTTTTTTTTTAGAATTATAAATAAAAGTATTTAATTTTAAAAGTATAGGAATAGTATAGGAAAAAGTGTAGGAATTCCTTTTCCTTTTTTTTTTTTTTTTTTTTAAAGTGTAACGAGGATTTTAACGATGAGTCACTTCAATATTTGATATTAGGTAGTGGATGCCAAATATTCGTAGAAACCAGGAAAAAATCAATTGTGCATTTGGATAGTTTAATTAATATTAGGATATTTAATTATTTATTTATATAAATATCTTAATTTAATACTCGATGGATTCGATAGAAAATTTGAACGATCACAGATATTGTTATTTATTTCTTTCATATCTCGATACCTAAATATTTCGCAGAAATCACGAAAAATGAATTGTGCAACTATTTCGATAGTTTAGTATTGCTAATTTAATACTCGATGGATTCGATTGAAAATTTGAACGATAACAGATATGATATTATTTTCAATTCCTTTGATATCTCGACACCTGAATATTCGCAGAAATCACGAAAAATCAATTGTGCAACCACTTTGACAGATCGATTGAAAATTTGAACGATAACAGTATGATTCGATTTATTTTCAATTTCTTTGATATTTTGGTATATCTGAATATTCGCAGAAATCAGGAAAAATTAATTATGCAAATTGATAGAAAAATTATGCACTTTGATAGAATTGAAGTCGATTGAAAATTTGCAAAACGATAACAGTATTTTCGATTTATTTCTAATTCCTTCGATATCTCTATATCTGAATATTCACAGAAATCAGGAAAAATTAATTGTGCAACCACTTTGATAGGATTGGTCGATCGAAAATTTGAACGATAATGACTCGATTTATTTTCAATTCCTTTGATATCTCCATACTCGAATATCTATATTCGCATTGTTCAAATCAATAGTTCAACCATTTCGATTGGATCGATCGATTGAAAATTTGAACCATAACAGTATGACTTGATTTATTTTCAATTTCTTTGATATTTTGGTACCTGAATATTCGCAGAAATCAGGAAAAATTAATTATGCAACCACTTTGATAGAATTGAAGTCGATTGAAAATTTGAACAATATGACTTGACTTATTTCCTTTCATATCTCGATACCTGAATATTCAAAGAAATCAGAAAAAATCAATTGTGCAACCACTTTGATAGAATTGAAATCGATCGAAAATTTGAACAATAATGACTCGATTTATTTTCAATTCCTTTGATATCTCCATACTCGAATATCTATATTCGCATTGTTCAAATCAATAGTTCAACCATTTCGATTGAATCGAAATAATACGAATATAATAAATAAATAATAACACGAGTTCTACTTCCTACATGAATATTCGCAGAAATCAGGAAAAATCAATTGTGCAACCACTTTATATAGAATTGAAGTCGATTAAAAATTTGCAAAACGATAACAGTATTTTCGATTTATTTCTAATTCCTTGGATATCTCTATACCTAAATAAAAATTCATAAACGAAAAATCAATTGTGCAATCATTTCAATAATTTAGTATTGCCAATTTAATTACTGGATATTTTCAATCCCTTCCAATTATTATTCTCGAATAAAACCATTATCAAAGGACAAAAGATTATTACAATCGAGAAGGGTGGGTTTAAATGGGAAAACACTTGTTCGATTCGCGTTTCGGAAATGGAGGGCCGATATCCACACAGTTAATAGAACATTACACTCCCGTAAATCAGGCTCGATTCGACTCGACATAAATCATAATCGTATACGTCTCTCCTCCTCGTGAGAAACACCCTCTCCCCCCTCTCTCCCCGTATACCGTTAACCGCTTTTCAATCCGCCTCTTTCTCATTTCCCAACTCGCAAATTCCAAAATTGGAAACGAATTAATCGAGAATCAATGAAATTTCGTCCTCTCGACGAATTTATTTCGAAGAGAATAAAAAAAAAAGCTCCAAGATTAAAGACATCGCTCATCCAAACATTCCTTCTTCTCTTATTACTCAATCTTGGCGAATCCAAGAAATACGAATAATAAGACGACGAAGAGTAAAAATTCGTGGCGCGAATTTTGAATAAATTTGAATAAAAGGGGGAGAAAAGAAAAGGAAGAGTTCTACTTCTTCTTCTTCGCCTTCTTCTTGTCCTTCTTGGGCTTCTTCTTGACCAGGGTCGGGTCTACGAGGGGTGGCCTGGGCAGTTTGGGCGGCGGGCTCCCGAGAGCCAGGCGGGGGGCCGCGGGGGAGATGGCGGCCACGTCGGCCATCATGTTACCGGCCGGGCCCGTGTCCAACAAATCCTCCCTCACCGTGTTCTCCGCGCTCGGCGGCGGCGACGAGCCGTCCATCCCACCGCTCATCCTCGACGCCTGGCACTTGAACTCCGGCCCGTCCGGCTCGTTCTTGAACACGAAGCATTTCGGGGCGAGCACGTACGGCGTCACGAGCGCCCTGCCAGAACCAGAAAAGTTCACAACGATTCTCAAACGAGGCCCCCTTTCGAGATTCGTTTTCCCAAACGATTCTCAAACGAGGCCCCCTCGAAACAGAGAAATACCTTCCCAAGTTTCTGACCGTGATGTCGATGTCCAGTTGGCCAGCGAAGTTGTTCCCGGGATCCAACAGCTCGAACGGGCCCCTGAACACGTACGGCGTTGGATCCTTGATGGCCACCTTGGCCTGGAAAAAAAGGAGAAAACGTTTACCGATTTATCGATCCGTTGCCCAAGATCGATAAGAAAGGAATTTCAAAATTACGAGTACTATCTGTGCTCGTCGTTTGTGGGTGGTATTATTATAAAATTGCTCGAAAGGGGGGAGTTTTTTTTAGGAGAAATTTCACGGGTTTTATGATTAAAAAAATTTCAAGTATTGTTCTTTGAGTATTGTGCATTTAATGATACAACGCAGCAAGTATATTTAATATTTCTACTCGTCTTCTCTGGAATATTTATTACTTTATTGTTTCTAGATGTTGTATACCTATTTTTACGAAAATTCTTCAATTATAACGGAATAATTTGTATGATAATAATTTTATATGGATTATTAGGAAATAAGAAAAATTGTGATATGATAACGAATAATCACTTGGAATTTTGCAGAGAAAAGAAGTGATTTTTGTGTAGATTCACGTGAGAGATAATTTCAACAGTGCGTTTTGTAAAAAATTTTGTATTAATTTTTAATAATAATATATTTATTTTTTATATAATAATTATATAAATATAATTATTTTTAAATATATATTTCTACTCGGTTTCTCTGGAACATTTATTATTTTATTGTTTCTAGATGTTGTATTTTTACGAAAATTCTTCAATTATAACGGAATAATTTATATGATAATAATTTTATATGGATTATTAGGAAATAAGAAAAATTGTGATATGATAACGAATAATCATTTGGAATTTTGCAGAGAAAAGAAATGATTTTTGAAGATTCACGTGAGAGATAATTTCAACAATGCGTTTTGTAAAAAATTGTGTATTGGTTTTTAACGCAGAAAATATATTTATAAACATTTATTATTTCATTGTTTCTAGATGTTGTATACCTATTTTTACGAAAATTACGACAGGTTGATTTATATGGATCGATTATTGGGAAATAAGAAAAATGAAATAACAATGAATTAGAAGAAGTAACAAGCTTATAATTGTATATATGACAACGAATAATCCTTTCAATGATGAATTTTGCAGAGAAAAGAAGTGATTTTTGTAGATTTTTGTAGAATGAATTATGTATTTTTGGAAGGTTAAATAAGAAAAATTTATCTTTGAAAGTAAAGATTTGAATATTTCCAGATATTTTCAAAAAAATATATTTTTTTTTTTCGTTTATATTATTATGGACAAGTCTCGAAAAGGCACGGAATTGATAAAAAAAGAAGAATAAAAAGAATAATCAGAATAAATAAAGACCAATCTGGATCGGATTCTGATATAAACGAGTTACGCGAAAGCGAGGAAGAATTTGACAGTGTAAACGAAATTGAAGATTCTGACGACGGTGGGAATGAAAATTATCACGATACATAAAAGAGAAAGATACGTAAAAGAGAAAGAATGCGTATTATTTCGGATATTGAGAGCGAAAGTGAAATAAAAACACGGTGATAATGAAGAAAATACTGTGAAAGCAGGATCCCTTCGTGTGTTTTACAATCGTTTTTAGATTTGGCATCAATACCTGAATTATTATACAAAGAGACCACTGGATTTTTTGATAAAAATAAAATTCGAAAGAATTTTCTCTTTCAATTAGAAGAATTTTTCAGTGACCATCATTCAATGTCTGGATCTTATATATATAAATATATATATATATATTTATTTTATTTAATCTTCATATACACATAAATATTTATAAAATATAAATTTTAATTAATTATTGGATTACTTTATTATTATTTTTATTCTTTAAATACTTTATATACCAATAAAATCTATTTTATATATTAATTTATGAATAATAAGTTGATTATTAAAATTAAAATTTTTAATTTACAAATAATTTTATTCATTAAAAAATAAGTTATAAATAAATCAACCAACTAAAATAAACTATTAATTTTTTATAAAATAATTTTAAATATAAACTATTATAAAATATATATCCAATTATATTTCCATTAAATCTAACAAGCATGTATACTGAAATTACACATCCAAGATAGAGTTTACGTGTAACTAAAGGAAGGCAACTAAAGGTAAATAAAAATCTATAGATTTTTAAATAAATAATTTACAAAAAATTTTAACAAAAACTAAAATAAATTTTAACCAACTAAAATAAACTATTAATTTTTTATAAAATAATTTTAAATATAAACTATTATAAAATATATATCCAACTATATTTCCTTTAAATCTAACAAATATGTATACTGAAATTACACATCCAAGATAGAGTTTACGTGTAAAAAAACGTATTGAAGGCAACTAAAGGTAAATAAAAATCTATAGATTTTTAAATAAATAATTTAAACAAAAAATTTTAACAAAAACATAGATTTCAGTAAAAAATATATATATATAGGTATCAATCTGTTCATAAATCTAGTGTTAAAAAAAAATTTATCGTTTCTTGTTCCCTGCTTTCGCGAAGGAGGGTGCGAAAGGGAGCTAGGGAAATTTGTCCAGGGAAATTTGTTTCTCATAAATACCAGATTATTATTATATATAGGACCAATATATATAGGACCAACCAGATATTATATTTATATTTATATATATATTATATTTAGAACTAATTAATACCAATAATAATTGTAATATTAATTCTCACCATATCGCAGGCGCAACCGCTTATGGGTGAAGTTTACAAAAAATTTTAACAAAAACATAGATTTCAGTAAAAAAAAATATATATAGGTATCAATCTGTCCATAAATCTAGTGTTAAATAAAAATTTGTCGTTTCTTGTTCCCTGCTTTCGCGAAGAAGGGTGCGAAAGGGAGCTAGGGAAATTTGTTTCTTATAAATACCAGATTATTATCATATATAGGNNAATCTAGTGTTAAATAAAAATTTGTCGTTTCTTGTTCCCTGCTTTCGCGAAGAAGGGTGCGAAAGGGAGCTAGGGAAATTTGTTTCTCATAAATACCAGATTATTATTATATATAGGACCAATATATATAGGACCAACCAGATTATTATTATATATAGGACCATATATTATATTTAGGACCAATTAATACTAATAATAATAATAATTGTAATATTAATTCTCACCATGTCGCAGGCGCAACCGCTTAGATAAAGTTTACAAAAAATTTTAACCCGTCAAAAACACGGATTTCAGTAAAGAAAAAATATATATATATAGATATCAATCTGTCCATAAATCTAGTGTTAAATAAAAATTTGTCGTTCCTTGTTCCCTGCTTTCGCGAAGGAGGGGAACGAGAAGGGTGCGAAAGGGAGCTGGGGAAATTTGTCTAGGGAAATTTGTTTCTCATAAATACCAGATTATTCTTAGGACCAATTAATACTAATAATAATAATAATTGTAATATTAATTCTCATCATGTCGCAGGCGCAACCGCTTATGGGTGAAGTTTACAAAAAATTTTAACAAAAACATAGATTTCAGTAAAAAAAAATATATATAGGTATCAATCTGTCCATAAATCTAGTATTAAATAAAAATTTGTCGTTCCCTGCTTTCACGAAGGAGGGGAACGAGAAGGGTGCGAAAGGGAGCTGGGGAAATTTGTGCAGGGAAATTTCTCATAAATTCTCATAAAATTCTCATAAATAGCAGATTATTCTTAGGAGCAATTAATACTACTAATAATAATAATTGTAATATTAATTCTCACCATGTCGCAGGCGCAACCGCTTAGATGGGTGAAGATGTGGCAAATGGGGAAGGTGTCGTTCGCCTTAAAAATGCCGATCTTTAACAATGCCTTCTTCATTTTGTTGACAAGCTCCTCGGTGGGCATGGAGAAGTGTATGGATTGGCCGCATCTGAATCCGTAAACGTAAATCGTCTCATTTTTCAAGGAACGTTCGCGCTCGTTGACCTCGGTCGGTGGGAAATTAATGAACGCAACTTTCACAACGAGCTTCGCCCCGTTAGTGTCTATGTAAACGTCTTTGTTCAGCATCAATTGCTCCACGTAAATGTCTAAAAGGTACAATCCGATCATAATTGAAATTTATCCACATGTTGCGCGATTCGGATTTCCTAGGTTATGAAATACTTGAGAATTTTTCCAATTTTGTGCGTGAAGTTGCGCACGAATTTCCTTCTCCTCCTCCTCCTCCTCTTCTCCTTTTTCTTTTCGTGGAATCAAGCGGGGAAAGAAATTTTTGGATTGTGTTCTCGATTCCATTTTCCTCGTCGAATCGAGGGATTCTACGTAAGAAAAATGAAATTCCAAATGGAGAAATATTGATATTTATATGAATTGTAGGTGGTTATTGTGAATGTAAATCAATCAAATGGAAAACAATTTTTTTGACGAATTTCGATTCCATTTTTTCGTTGCAGAAATTCTACGTAAAAATGAAATTATACAATAACAAATAAATTTTAGGCGAATTTTAATTCCTCGATTTCATTTCTTAATTATTAAATTTTTATATAAAAATAAAAATTCCAATAGCAATTTTAGATGAATCTCGATTCTTCGATTCTATTTCTTCACTGTCGAAATTCTACGTAAAAATGAAATTCCAATAACAAATAAATTTTAGGCGAATTTTAATTCCTCGATTTCATTTCTTAATTATTAAATTTTTATATAAAAATAAAAATTCCAATAGCAATTTTAGATGAATCTCGATTCTTCGATTCTATTTCTTCACTGTCGAAATTCTACGTAAGAAAAATTAAATTCCAATGGCAAATGGAGAAATCGATACTTACAGGTTGCGATGAATTTTAGCTAATTACTGTAAATGTAAATCAATGGTGGAAAACAATTTTTTGACGAATTTCGATTCCATTTCTTCGTTGTTCTACGTAAAAATGAAATTCCAATAGAAATTTTAGACGAATTTTAATTTCTCGATTCCATTTCTTAATTATTAAAATTTTATATAAAAATAAAAAAGTCAATAGCAATTTTAGATGAATCTCGATTCTTCGATTCTATTTCTTCACTGTCGAAATTCTACGTAAGAAAAATGGAATTCCAATGGTAAATAAATTTTAGGCGAATTTTAATTCCTCGATTCCATTTCTTCACTACTAAAAATTCTAAAAAGGAAATTTCAATAAGCAAATAAATTTTAGGCGAATTTTAATTCCTCGATTCCATTTCTTCACTACTAAAAATTCTAAAAATGAAATTTCAATAAGCAAATAAATTTTAGGCGAATTTTAATTCCTCGATTCCATTTCTTCACTATCAAAAATACTAAAAATGAAATTTCAATAAGCAAATAAATTTTAGGCGAATTTTAATTTCTCGATTCCATTTTTTCATTGTCAAGATTCTATGTAAAAATGAAATTCCAATAACAATTTTAGATGAATCTCGATTCCTCGATTCCATTTCTTCATTATCAAAAATTCTAAAAATGAAATTCCAATAACAAATAAATTTTAGGCGAATTTTAATTTTTCGATTCCATTTCTTCATTATCAAAATTCTATGTAAAAATTAAATTCCAATAACAATTTTAGATGAAATTCGATTCCTCGATTCCATTTTTTCATTGTCAAGATTCTACATAAAAATAAAATTCCAATAACAATTTTAGATGAATCTTGATTTCTCGATTCCATTTCTTCATTATCAAAAATTCTAAAAATGAAATTTCAATAAGCAAATAAATTTTAGGTGAATTTTAATTCCTCGATTTCATTTCTTCACTATCAAAAATTCTAAATTGAAATTTCAATAAGCAAATAAATTTTAGGCGAATTTTAATTCCTCGATCCTATTTCTTCATTATCAAAATTCTATGTAAAAATGAAATTCCAATAACAATTTTAGATGAATCTCGATTCCTCGATCTCATTTCTTCATTATCAAAATTCTATGTAAAAATTAAATTCCAATAACAATTTTAGATGAATCTCGATTCCTCGATTCCATTTCTTCATTATCAAAAATTCTATGTAAAAATGAAATTCTAATAACAATTTTAGATGAAACTCGATTCCTCGATTCCATTTCTTCATTATCAAAAATTCTAAAAATGAAATTCCAATAACAAATAAATTTTAATTCCTCGATTCCATTTCTTCAATTTCTTTGTCGAAATTCTACGTAAAAATGAAATTCCAGTTGCAAATGCAGTAATGTCAGAAATCAGTATTTGCAGATAAATTTTAACGCCAGACCATCGTGATATAATAAAAAATATTCTGCAAATGCAAAACAAATTTTAGAATTTTATAATTTCGATTTCATTCCCTCGCTGTCGAAATTCCACTGTAAAGAAAAATAAAATTACAAATGCAATGACAAATGCAGGAATCAATATATTGCAGATGAATTAACGCCAGGTCATCGTGATACAATAAAAAATATTTGTTTCATATTTTCATATTTGCTTAATTATTTGAGTTCAAGGAATTTTACCTCGAGTTCGATAAATTAATATATATATATATATATGTTGAACAGAAATATTAATATTAGTAATAATATATTTAATGTATTTATATTTATTGAAAGAATTGTTATTGGATTAAATTTTTAAAGTTAATAGAAAATTTTATTTTTATATTATATTTTCAAAATATAATATACACTTGTTCATGTTCATTAACTAATTAATATATAAAATTAATTTTATTTTCAAATTAATTTATCCCATATTTTTCTCGAATGATATTTTTATAGAATCATATAAAGAAATATAAAAAATATGTATTTTGTTATTTTACTATTATTAAGTGAAAACCAAATTTTAGAATTTTAGAATTTCGATTCCATTCCCTCGCTGTCGAAATTCCACTGTAAAGAAAAATAAAATTACAAATGCAATGACAAATGCAGGAATCAATATATTGCAGATGAATTAACGCCAGGTCATCGTGATATAATAAAAAATATTTGTTTCATATTTTCATATTTGTTCAATGTTTATTTGAGTTCAAGGAATTTTACCTCGAGTTCGATAAATTAATATATATATATATGTTGAACAGAAATATTAATATTAATTATTATAATTATTATTAATATTTATTATAATTATTATAATTATTAATAATTATTATAATTAATATAATTAATATTAATTATAATAATATATTTAATGTATTTATATTTATTAAAAGAATTGTTATTAAGTTAAATTTTTAAAGTTAAAATTTTATGACAAATTTTAGGACCAGAAATCGGGATTCGCGATGAATTATAACCAGGTATAACAACCGTGAACCTCTTGCGCGTGCAGATAAGTTCGAAAGACGAAATGGTTTAGGTGTTTAGGTTAGGAACCGGTTTGAGAAAACGCGAGTCGGTGATTCGGTGGCCGAAGTGATTTACAGTTAGACACGCCGATTGATAGACTCGTTTAGGATAATTGCCGAAACATCGTTAACTGTTTGCAGTCGAATCGTTTGTTTGCACCATTATATCGTTCCAGTGGATGAAAGATCGCTCG